CATCATCAACCAAGCAAGCCTGCCCAAGCAAGCCTGCCTCCACCACCTCCCCACCCCAAGTCATCAGCACACAGCCCCTCTCCCTCTCTGGGTCTAAAGTCCCCAGCTGGTCCATCTCTCCACGTCATCTGCTCTGCTTCCATCTCTGCTTCTCTGGGTAGGGTCCTGCTCTCCGCTCTTCTCCCTTGATGGTCCCAGGGACCTGCGCTCCTAGACTGAAAAGTTAATCACTCCCCTCTTTGACTTACCCAACTGCAAGCATTAGCTGACACTATTGTATTTTTAAAGCTATGGAGACTGAACTCCAGAAATACGACATTTGTTGTTGTTGGGTGCCGTCGAGTCAGTTCTGACTCATAGCAACTCTTTACACAACAGAACAAAACACTATCTGGTCCTATGCCATCCTCACAATCATTGTTACGCGTGAACTCATTGCTGCTGCCACTGTTCCAATTCATCTCATTGGAAGTCTTCCTCTTTTTCGTTGACCCCTCCAGGGCCCCCTCCAATAACATGTCTGAGATGTGAGAGACAAAGTCCCATCATCCTGGCTTCTAAAGAAATTCTGGCAGTACTTCTTCCAACACAGATTTGTTTGTTCTTGTGGCAGGCAGTCGATGGTACTTTCACTATTCTTAATAACATGAGCTGCTCAAAGCTACACATTTGGTAAAAACCCTGGGATCTCAAGCTTTTCATTTCTTCCATTAGGCCCATATATGTATAAAGCCACTGTTATTTCTTCACATGTAAAAAACTGTAGGTAAGGCTCTTATGTATCCAACAAAGAGCAAGGCAAACACAGTCTGTTATCATAATTGACGGACGACATTATAAAAGAACATTTGCAAAAAGGCATTCCTCATTGCTAACAAGCCAATTCGGTCTCTCATTTCTCAATGAGGAAAAGAGAGAGCCAGATGACGATAAACACAGTAAGTCCCCAAGTCTGGAACTTCCTGACTTACAAACAACTCATACTTGCTCTTTAATTTTATGTAAAGTTGTCCTCACTTTGAAACCAGCTTCGAACAAATTCATCACAATCACCTTCACTTGCTGCACAGACAAGGTCTGGCATCTTTTCTTGCACGAAAGCAGGGGTGGGGAACCTTTTTTCTGCCAAAATTTATAACACATCATTCTCGGGCCATACAAGATTATCAACTGAAAAATCAGCCTGCTATATTTGGTCAAACAATTAACTCACCCCTAATGTGATGGCTGAAACTGCGATTGCCCTGGTAGGGCCAGACCAAATGATTTCACGGGCCTTATATACAACCCTCCCTCGGAGTCCTGGTGTGGCCCTGCGGACTAATGAGCCAGACCGCAAAGTCCTTTGACTTGCAAAGTCAGCAGTTCAAGCTCACCTATGGGTTGGAATCGACTCAATGGCGCTTAACAACAACAACATACAACCCTGGGGCCAGGTATTTCCCACCCATGCACTGAAGTAAGGCTAGGAAGAATGGCATGCATCTAGTCTGACTTACTTACAAATTCAACTTTAAAGACACACTTGGGAACATAACCCAGAGACCAGTCTGTACTTCTAAGTTTGGTCTTCCCACGTTACTTTGTAGATCAGAATGTGCCCGTGGTTCACATCAAAACAACCTGAAAACATCCAAGACTAAAAACGTTCCCCCGCTTCCTCTCCACCTAAAGTTTCATCTGTCCCATCCAAGGATCTTCTCGAGTTCAATCTTACTAGAAAATGTTCAGACATGTGAAAAGTACACTGGATTACAAAACTGAGAATGCCAAGTAAATTAAGTAGACCTAAGTATCCACAGGTTATGTATTGGGGATTCTACCAACCATGGATGGAAAATATTTGGAGAGAATAAAAAAAGCAATTAAGTGGTCAAAGAAATCCCTCTAAGGCTAAGAGGGAGCTAGCAAAGTGTTATTTACATAACATTTGCATTGTTTCGGGAACTGTAATCTGTAATCTAGAGTAGAGGTGGAGAAAGTACCAGGTTATATGCAAGCACATTTTCTATAAGGGACTTGAACATGCTGGGGCTTGGAATCTGCAGGGGGTCCTGGACCCAATGCCCTGAGGACACCATGGGATGACTATAGTCTAATGCAAATGCCTGTGTTATGTACAGCTTAGGGTGCTGCCAAAACTGCTCACTCCCTGGTCAGAGACAAAATATGAACTGTGTTCTCACAGTACTGTGTTCTTTCCCTTTATTGTATTTGTGTGAAGCTTTGTTTGCCAATCAAGCAATATTTATTGCAGTCCTACACCATGCCAACCATCTAGGTACCATCAGCTACTTATTTACTAAGTATTTGTCTCCCCCACTAGACTACAGGCACCATGAGAACAGCTAGCTAGCTATTGCTTCTTTTCCCTCGACATTGGGCTGTATAACCTAGCCGAGTAGCTACACAGTTGTTGGGCGCTGTTGAGTGACAGAGCAGAACTACCCCAGAGTTTCTAGGCTGTAATCTCCTGCAGAGCAGCTTGGTGGGTGCAAACTGCCATTCTTTCAGTCAGCAGTGGAGCGCCTAACCATTGCACCAGCTGGGTTCCCTGGTACACAGTAGGGCTTAATAAACATTGATAGAGAGCAAGAGGGAAGGGCCACTAGGACATAGAGAAATCAGTGTTTTTCACTGCCCAGCGCACTCCTGAATCCACCAGAGAGGGAATGAATTCTGAAAGGCACCACATGCAATGCACAGCTGAAGGTACAGCAGCTGCCATGCAAAGAAGCCCTCCGCCCAGAACTAGAAGAATTCAGCCCTTTGTTTCTCTCTGCCTCCTCAGAACCAAAATGAATCTAGGTCCACTGTCAAGCAACCTGTCAGCTGTAGGTCCTTCAACATCTGCCTTTCAGAAACTGAATGCTGTGGAATGAGATGGTGTTGAGGAACTTTCTGACATCACTGCATGAAAAGATTTTTCTTTTCTTTTTTTAAACGTCTGAGGTCACACATTAAGAATGAAACAGAACTCGGTTAATACAAAAAGTATGCCATTTCAAGTCTTTGTAAGTTGCAAGTTAACCTTCACAAAAGGTTTAATTTAAAAATACAGCTGTTGGACTTATGAAACTTTCCAACTGTAGTTAACAGGTCTTTTTACCAGCATGCTGTTCAAAACAGACTACAAGTTTCCAAAGTGTGCTTGCTCCCTGCTAAGCTTTTTCTGAAAACCGACAATTCCATGGAATATATGCTGTCCTGTCCAGAGTGGTTATAAAAGAACAGGATAATAGGAAATGATAACCATTGGGCTCAATATCAAAACCCAACATTCTGGGCAGCTATGAAAATGCAAATATCTAAGCTTATATATATCATTAATAAACTTCATTTTTTCTCCACTCAACCAAGTGGTTAGAAAAATATGGGACAAACAAAAGCAAAGGAGTAATGAAACATGCCCTAACTGTGAACACTAAAGTATGTTGAACAGAAAAGCCTTTTACAGTAGAATTGCTACTAAGCAGGTTATATATATATGAGTTAATTAGTATGCCTAGTGGGGGACTAAAGACCCACCTCCCACCACCCTGGGCAAATCACAACTTACCAGTAAAGGCTAGTAGTTAAGGCTGACGGTTGAGTTATAAATATAATGAACACTAAGTAAAGGAATAAAAGATCAATCTAAATTCTGTCAAGTTTGCAAGCAATTAAACCCTAAGCCTTGCATCAACAAAATGCCCATACTGATTTAAAAAAAAAAAAAAAAAAGACCTGGGAATTTTCTAGACCCTGGTCATTTGGTTCAGGATCAAAGCATTTAATGAGCTAAAGCAGCAGTGACTAACTCATGTTCAAGTTCAGAATAGGCATTTCATGAGGTCTACAAACTGTCTCTGGGATGAGTTAAGTTGTGTTTGCGTTACATTGTGAAATACAATGTACAAGTGTTAACTGGAAAATCAGAACACAACTTGTCTACAATTCTTAATATTCTTTTGAAATTTGTCCCCATCAAGTTTACACTGTGACTGACTGTTCTTTTGTTTTTACAGTCTTATTTTCACAACTCATTCTGCAGTGTTCTGAATAAAACTCGGAGGACCACAAAAATGCACTATTTATGACTACAGGAGACAAAATAATAACCATAATAAATTGCTTTTGTATTAGCAGGCCCTCACATAACTTCCTTGGCATATATTCACACTGGGTACATGAAAGTTTCACAAATTCACGTTAAAATTCTTGATCTAAAAATATCCCAACAATGCGTCAATATGCCAGCTGAAAATAGGATAGATGCAACCCAACAATTCTCCGAAACAGAAATTACTCCCCTTCTTTTAGTGCCTACACTCTAGCTTTTGTTTGAAAACGCCACATAACTAAAAATATTACGGCAGACTCAAAAACGACACTTTTGAACTTCCATTTTGTTAAAGAGCAAATTTCCCGTAAGACTTACTGGCCCGAAGCCTTCCCCGGAAGACGGGGAACGGGATTCGCCGCGCCTCCTGGAGCACTCGGTGCCGGGCCTGGGTCCCCGCGGCCGGCGCACTACCCCGACTCAAGTTCCCGAGGGGCCCGCGTACCCGTATGCAGGCCCCGAACCTGCGGAACCACAGACCGCGCTCCGGGAGCACATCTTGTGACGCCTATGCTGACGAATAATGCAAAATGCTAAAAATACACTCGGATAGCTGACTTTGAAGCGGACTTGACATTCTCCCACTCCCAAGTTGCTATTTTTTCTTTTCGGGGAGCGACGTGACAACCCAGCCGCAGTGGACTCCGCTGGCACCGCGTCCGCTCACTTTTCCGCACCCACTGCCCTGGACCAAGTTGGGGAAGCGGCCCCGCGAGCGGCGTGGTCGTGATTCAGCAGCGGGCCGGGACGGGCGGGACCGCAGCGCCGGGACGGGCCGGGCGCGGAGCAGTCGGGCGGCTGAGTTTCGAAAGGTCACGAGGCCGCGGCGGCAGCGCTGCCCCCGGCGGCGGCCCAGTTCAGATGGCGCCGGGCCGGCGGCGGCGGCGGCAGGTCCTACCTTTCTTGCTTTTCGGAGAGTTCCGCTTGCTCCGGGCGCTGGCTCGCTCTTCCTCAATCGCAGCTGCTATCTCGGGGTTGTCTTCCCCATTGTACCAGACCAGGAGCTCCTCGCCAGGCGCGATTGGCTGCGGCGAGAGAAGAGACAAGCGCCGAGCCAATTAGAGCGGCGGTTGTTGGCGGGGGGCGGGGCGCGGGCGCCGGGCCAGGGGCGGGAGCCGCGGCGCAGATCGCAAACAGCTGGCAGCGGCGCCGCGCAGATTTCCCCGCCGCCGCGGCCGGGGAAGGAACCCTCTGCTGGAAGGAGGACCTCACTTCCCCGGCGGCGGCGGCGGCGGCGTTCCGCTGTGGACGCCGCTTGCCCGGGACGCAGGCGGGCAGGAAGGCGGTGCGAGGACCGGGCGCCCCGATTCCACTGGGGGCCCCGGAGCTGGGCGTGCGCACTCAAACACAGATACCAGTGATTAAAGACGATTCCTTTTCTACTCAAAACTGCCATACGCTCTCCACTCTTACTTTCGAATGCCTCCTGACCGCCCACGCAGAGGAAAAAATAAAACATGGAACATTTTTACCCATGAAACCTAAATTGGTGAGAAATTTTATACACAATTAAGAAGAGCCAAGCAGCAAGAAAAAAGGTGCTGAATGCTAATTACCAGTATCTCCCACAAATGTAAAAAGAGAAGGCAGTGTGGAAGAAGGTAATGGTCCCACCAATGTGTTATCTCCCCAATCTCATTGCTTTGACATCTGTACCAAACACCAAAGCGATGTAATACATTTAGAAGAATACATCTAACAAATACCCCACCTGTATTTCACACCAGAACATCACACTTTTAACAGGCACGTGCGAGTGTGACAGGGCAAGTGGTGAGGGCACAAGCCTTCACACTGATTACACCTAGAGTGAAACGCTTAAGAAAAAGGGTACTGACTGGGAAGGTTAGGGTTCTAAACAGAATTCGAGGAAATGGCTTCTTGGTTCTCTCATAATGACTCATGTGTTCACAAAGTTCCAAAAGGATGAATACAAGTAAAATTCACGTAAAACCAATAAGAATAAAGTAAGAATCCAGGAGTTCACATTGACAGCAAAGAATGAATTAGAAAATCATTAAGAAGTAAATTCTTTCCTTAAAGTTGTTAAGTGCTGTCGAGTGGTTCTGAACCATAGTGACCCTGCATAGGGTTTCCAAGGATCAGCTGGTGAGTTTGAGCCACATGTCACACCAGAACTCCTTCCTTAAAGTGTTGTTGTTATTGTTGTTATGTGCCGTGGAGTCGGTTCCGACTCACAGTGACCCTGTACAGGGTTTCCGAGGCTGTAAATCTTTACAGGCGCAGAAAGCCTCATCTTTCTCCCGCGGAACAGCTGGTAGTTTCCAACTGCTGACCCTTAGGTTAGTAGCCCAATTCATAACTTAAAGTAGAAACCCCAAACTAATCAATGAAAGAGAAACGTTTAGAGTTGGAAATCACCATTTGGCGATCATTACAGCAATTACTGATTCACACAAGATATCCATTATAAGTGGATGCTAAAACTAGTAGGTGGGAACTCTCCAGGGGAAGGACGAATATTTGCATAGTCTCAAAATCATTGTTAAAGGCAAGCTGATTCTGATTCTGACTCATAACGACTCTGTACAGGGTTTCTCAGGAGCAGCTGGTGGGTTTTTGAAGCACAGATCTTGCAGTTAGCAGTCCAGTGCTTATCCTACAGTGCCACACTTCTCAAAGCAGATTCCCCAAATAGTAATCAATTCATTACAAAGGAAAGATTTATATCTTTACAAGAAACTAATAGATGCACAGCAACACCTGGTGTGGCATTGTGGGTTAACGGGCCAGACTACAAAGCCATTTGAACTGCAAGGCCGTGGTTCAAGCTCACAACCCTATACAGGGTCTCTATGGTTCGGAATCGACTTGAAGGCAGTTCACAACAACACTTCTGGACCATGTCTGCCTATAATGCATACATTGACTTTACTGATGCTGGAACATTGCTGCTGTTGTTGTTACGTGCCATTAGACAAGACCAAATTTCAGGAGACATCCTACAGAATAACTAAGAAAGTTATAAAACACACAGACTCCAAACCAAGGAGACAATAGAATGCAGCTAATAATACCTGCCTCAGTGTTAAATTCCCTAGTTTTGATAATTACTCTATTTGGTATTACTTAGGTAACAGACTCTTCTTTGATAAGGGGGGGAAACACACCTGAGGTTATTTTTCTTTCTCATTTTAACTTATGTTCTAATCTAGACAAAGTCCCAGAAAGTCAATTACTACTTTCATTCTCTGTAAAACTCTCACATTATATAGTGGGAACGAGCCTTGGTGGTATAGTGGGTTAAGTATTGGGCACTTATTATTCAAACCCACCAGCTACTCTCATGGGAGAAAGACGGGACAATCTGCTTCCATAAAGATGTAGTCTCAAAAACCCTATTGAGAAGCTCTGCTGTCCTATAGGAGTCCTGGTGTGGCACTGTAAGATAAGCACTGGACTGGAAAGTCAATTTGAACTTCAAGGTGGCGGTTCAAACTCGTCACTCTTTGGAAATCCTATACAGGGTTATTATGAGTCGGAACCAACTCCACAGTACTTAACAACAACAACAAACCAACAACACTGTCCTACAGAGCTGCTGTGAGTTGGAATCAGCTTAATGGCAGTGCGTCTGGTTTGGTTTACATAAAAATAGATTCCAAATTTCAAAACATTCTAAATTTCTTCAAAATAAAAGAATCAGCCAGTTTCCTTTGCTCCCACCACCCAAAAGTGATTAAAATCTGCCATTTTCTTATTTCTGAACAAACTTATTTCCCTTCTTAAATCAGTTAAACCAAAACACAACCCAAAAAATGCATATATAAGATTGTACTGAATTAAAAGAGCCACACCAGATGACTCTGACACTCAGATTAGCTAACTTGTTTGTTGAACCAACAGGCTTCTTTATGCTTTTAAATTAGACTGCTAGACGACAGTAGTTCTGTAGGATAATCAATCACAAGGTCAGCATTTCAAGCCCAGCAGTCACTCCATGGGAGAAAGATGAGGCTTTCTGCTCCTGCGACAACATACAGCCTTGGAAACCCTAAACAAGTTCTCTATGGAGTGAGAACCAACTTGACAGCACTTAACTAAAGCTTCTAGTAGACCACACTTTTCACATACAAGGAAGCATGTAAATTATACAAATACACATGTTATCACAAGCATGTAAAGGAAGCCAATTCACAAGGAGGGTTGCCGATTTTCCTGATTAACACAGATGTTATCTGCATAAACACAATAGTTGTGTCTGCTTTTGTTTCTTCGTTGTTGTTATATCACAAATTTATGAAATGGTGGTATCTCCGTATTTGACACCACTATAGTTCTCAGAGAGTCCTGATGTAGTGCTGTGGGTTCATGCGCCAGACTGCAAAGCTGTTTGAACTGCAAGGTTGGCAGTTCAAGCTCACCAGCTTCTCCTTGGAAACCCTATACAGGGTCGCTATAGGTCAGAATAAACTCAACAGCACTTAACAACAACAACAGTTCTCAGAAATATGTAAAGCTCCAAATAAAACAAAAGTTGTTTTTTTGTTTGTTTTTTTTAACAAAGAGCCTGCAATGGAAACAGAAGAGTAATAATGTGAGGACAAACTTATTCACAGTATCTCCCTATCCCACACTGCATAACCAGAACACTTTGGCTGGAAGACACCACCTATCATTTTGAAGAGGACAGATTTTTTATCTCAACTCTAATATACAACTTTTCGATGATGACTGGGTCGATGGATAGTCTGGTTAAGAGCAAGCTGAAGTGTCAGCTGTTGAATAACTTCTAGAGGTGACCAACAGATATGATAACTTTATTAAAACAGCTACACAGACCTTTCGACGAAAAGAAAAATAACATATTTTTTAAATCAACAACTGTTTTCTACTGTACTCAATTATTCTTTCTATTCTGTACTGCTTAGCACTTGTAAGCATTTTTTAATCTCATTTCAAAAGAAAGGGGAAACTATGTGTTTAAACTCAGGAATCATAAATGTACCTTTACAAAAAGTCAGTCAAAAGGCCAAGCAACTGAGGGGATTGTAACCATGGCAAGGAAACAATATATGACAGGATCAATGTAAGGCTAATGGTCTCCCATGTAAACTGTCACATAATTCACACTAAAACATTAAAAAAAAAAAAAAAAAAGGCCAAGCAACCACTTTTAATGTTTTTTCAAAGGACATCACATTTTGAGATGATAAAAACAATACTTGTAACTTTTCCAACTTTCTCTTTGGGTTCTGATAAGCTTTATAAAACCAAGCATACCATCTTCTCTAATTATCAATGAGGTGGCTTCAAAAAGTTTGTGGAAAAACGGAATTAAAAGATAATCAAATTCTTCCACAAACTTTTTGAAGACCCCTTGTGATAACTTTTCATATAAATTTTACCAGACCAATTAGGAAAAAGGATTAAGATAAAGTGAAAGAAATACTTCAGAATTATTGTTGTTACTACAGTAACCCTGTATAGGGTTTCCAAGGAGCAGCTAGTGGGTTTGAACCACTGACCTTGCGGTTAGCAGTTCAGTGCTTATCCTATAGAGCCACACCAGAACTCCTTTTCAGAATTACTAGGGCACACCAAATAATCGCACAAAGTATGCCCACTCTTAGCCCCCTACAATCTATTTCCACACAGCAGGCAGAATGATCCTCAAAAATCATAGATAAGACCTCTTCCTAAACTCATAAATGGATTAAGTTGAACTTCAAACTTAAGACCCACGCTTCTCCCTATGGGTGAGTCCCATCTGATGAGTCCTCGTCCGCACTCCCTTCATCTACACTCTTGGCTCCTGCCACACTGGTGGTTTCCAACTCCTTTAAAAACAAAAGCAAGGAAAAAAAAAAAAAAAAAAAAACCCACAATCCAGCTTATTTCTACTTTAAGTTTCTTGCTGTTACGGTTCTATCTTCCTGGACTGCTTTTCCCACAAATTTCTGTGTGGCTGGTTCCTTTCCATCCCAAGGGAGGATTCTTTTCTCAGAGTGGCCTCCCCTGACTCACCAGTGCTTAGGCAGTCCTTTCCCTACCTGGTCACTTGCTATCACCTTTTATTGTCTTTAAAGTATTTATCACTATAAAAAATATGTTTACTTATTTGTTTATGTAGTCCTGGTGGAGCCATAGCTAAGCACTTGCTTGCTAATCAAAGGTCAGCAGTTTGAACCCACAGGAGGAAGATGAGACAGTCCACTCCTGTGAAGATGCACAGTCTTGGAACCCTCAGTAGCCCTTCTAATCTGTCCTATTGGGGGTCCCTGTGAGTCAGAATCAACCCGACGGCAGTGGACTTGGTGGTCTGCTATTTACTTGTTCATTATCTGCATCTCCCATCAAACAGAAGCTCCATGAGACCAGAGGGCTCTCCTACTTCCTGGTACCGAAAAACACCTCTGCCCACACTGTTGAAACAGTGTAAAAATTTTAATTTTGAGGTGCTAAAGCATCCTCTGAATAGTCCTAATCTTGCTCCATAGGACTTTCACCTGTTCGGTCCCCTGAAAGCAGCCCTCTGAGGATGAAAATTCACCTCTGATGAAGTAAAGCCAGCAGTGCATTCATGGCTCATAGCTCAGTCTAAAGCATTTTTTAATAAGGGAATACAAAAGCTGTTGAAAGGTGGACAAAGGGCATTGAAAAGCAAGGAGATTAAGTTGAAAAACAACGAATCTATCTTTTTTCAAAGTTGACTAAAATAAATCCTACAGCCAGAGTGCAGATAATTTGTGACTCATCCTCATACAAACAAAACCCCGTTTTCTGGGTGATGGTTGAGAAGAGAATACAAAGCCCAGAGAATCTGACTCGTACTTTTATTTACAAAACCTAACCCACTGAAAGCTTGACCTAGAAGAATCTGGTGAGATAATCTCTCATGAGGAATCTGGAAGGCCTTGCGCACACTAATGCTCTCATCAACAGTTGTGATGCACAAACACAAGTAAAAATCATAGTATAGCTAGTTAACACTTGGAGTGCTTATGTGGGACTAGGGACTGTTCAAGGGCCCTTACGCTGCTGATGTGTTTAATCTTCACACAACTGTATAAACTAGTCGTACCGGCAACTCCATTTTGAGATGAGAATATGAAGACAGAGTACCTTTCCCACGGACACACATCAAAAAACCTCCGGAGTCCCCACACTTCACCACGCCATCCCACCTCTCCCAAAATCATGGTGGCCCTATGTGTGGCAGAGTAGAACTGTTCCATAGGACTGTCTTGGCTGTAATCCAGCAGTTCACCAGACCTTTTAGTACATCTGCTGGGTGGGTTCAACCTGCCAACCTGTAGGCTAGCAGCCACTCACAGCCACCAACCAGGCTCCTTTCAAAGCCAAAAACTGAGCACTTACTAGGTACCAGCATTCTGGATACATTCACTCTGGTCATCATCACAATAACACTATGAGATCAAAACTATGGTTATCGGTTTCTTACAAATGAGGAAACTAAGGCACAGAGAGGAGATTTGCCTAAGGATACACAGGCAGTAAAGTCACAAAATAAGCTTGCAGTAGGCAGGTAAACTTGCCTAAGGTCACACACAAGCCCGGGTTCAATCCTGGGAGTCTGGCTGCAGGGTTCTTTCTGACAACCATTACTCTATCTTGCTTCTCTATGCTCCTGAAAATCTGCTATCAGAAACATATTTCAGCTCGAAGTCACTCGAATGCATCCTAATCTGTCCCTGGGCTCGTTCTCCCTGGGGATTTTCTCTACCTGGAGTGGCTTGTATTCCTCCCCCAGAGGTATTACATCTCCACCAGTAGCCCCCCTCACTGATCCAACCTGATGTATCTCTCCCTTTAAATAAACATGAGAAAAAGAATGAATTCTGGAATCAAATTTCCAATTTTAAGTGTTAACAAAATTGGACAGTAATACCTAGTGAAAAAGCATGGCCCAGCCAAGAGAAAATAGGAAACAGGGCTGTAAACATTTTAAGTGAGCAAGTACCACAAAACACTTATTACTACAAGAGTTGGCAGCAAGAAAGTGGGTATATATGAAGTAAAGGGCAATGAGCTAAAAAGACAGTGAAAATATGAGAGCTTCAAAAAGTTCATGGAAAAATTCCATTATCTTCTAATTCCATCTTTCCTTGAAATCTTTTCCCCTCTTACTACAAAGAAAGTTAAATAGGCCAGTATGGACTGAATGTCCTAAGTCCCACACCTACTCGACTAGGGATTCTCGGCACGCAGCAAAGCGATCTGCTATCTGAAATGCTTGCTCATTAAAAATATTCAATGCTGTGAAGAAAATTTTCTCATGGGCTGTCTGACATTTAAAAGAAAGACCGTGAATATGACAAATTTGCCTCACAACAATTCTGGCAAATTCATCTATCCCACAAAGCAGAGGACCTGCCTTGACAGCTTGCGAGTTCAGCTCATAGAACTCTGGTGCGCATGACGAGGGCAGGTTTGCTATCTGGAGAACCAAGTGGTCAGGCGTGAACTTGCGTGCCAAAGAAAAGCAGCAGAACTCACTGTTCCCCTAATACTCACTTCCCTGAATGTGCTCAGTGACCTGTGACTATCCCCACAAGCCCTGAAAAGTGACCTTCTTCATCTTTTTATCCCCTCAACTGAATGTCTCCAAATAAAAGTTTGGTAGAAGGAAGAAATCTGCTGTTTCATCTCTATTCTGAAGACAATCTGAGGAAAAGACTAGCTAACGCAAGGCAACATGTACAGTGAGGACTAAGAGTTTCTTTCCGCTTAATGTGGACCCATCACCACTGCGAGCTTCTGAGAGTTGGATAAACCTGCCATTCAGGGAGCTCCTAGCTTCTGTATCGGAGGAGGAGGGAAGTGGCTGCCATGGTTTAACTCATCAGTGTCTACAAAGATGCAGTCTGTAATTACTTAACACCATCTTCATGCTCTGGTTCACTAACAGACACGGAGCAGTGGCAACCATATATTTAGAACACAGAACCTTGGGTGTGTAAATGCTTGAGCTAAATCCCGTTAAATATACCCCTTTCAAGGTCTGCAAAGCTGTTACTGTCGGTCAAGCCCATTTATGCAGAGCATTTTCAAAATGCATGCGAGGTAACTAAGCGTAGATGAATTCTCACACTGTTACCTTTAAAGTCTTGTAATAAATGGCCCTGTTGATTTCCAGTGGAAATAAATTTTGTTCTTCTCCTGAGCAAGCCCAGTTCACATATCGCAGCCAGTTCCCCTTCTCTGGATCAGTGGCATCGATGCACATCCATCCCAAATTGGGGTAATATACCTAGGGGCGTGGGGGAAAACCAGACTGCCATTAAAACCAGAGGAAGCAGCTTCAAAATGTTTCCATTCTTAACTCTGATGACTTAACACTGTTCATCATATGCTCAAAGTCTATAAAGCATTTTATCAAAACAATAAAAATCAGCAACAGAGAAAAAAAAAAAAAAAACCAATCCAGATGAAAGCTGAGGTCCAAAGCTATGTAATTCTTATTCTTTTCCATTTGAGTTTACTGGAGTAATTTCCCCCTAATGTAAAGAGCTATAATTAAAGTGATTAATGATTTTCAAATGCTTTGCAAATATCCACACAAAAACAAATGACAAATATATTCCCTAACGTGCAACTTAAAGAGAAAAATACGGTTCACAGCACAGTTTTGCAGCACCCAATTTCCATGAGCTTTATGGGTTGTTCTAGAAGCTGAGTCCTGGGGCCTAAGCCTACAGGACTATACAGTACATAGGTTCTGACTGCAGAGTTCGAAAGCACTGAGCCTCTGAAACATCTACACATGGCGGAGTAGAGGGAAGTGCTTTTGTAAACTGAGTTGACCCTTAAAACTTGATCGAGAGCATTCCTCAGGAAGCAAGGTGCTACGGAATATGTTCTGGGAAATAGCAGTGCCCTATGAAGGAGGAAAAAACAGCCCTCACTCAACCCAACTTATAGAAGCAGATCAAATCTGCTCTTGTGAAAAAGCTTCCCCGGGCCACCACACTCAGTCGCTCTTCCTCCCAGATGCTGACAGCTCTGATCCATTTTTCATCCTGTAAAAAGCTATTTGTTGTTGTTTTGTTAAGTGCCATGGGGTCAGTTCCAACTCACAGCAACCCTGTAGAGGGTTTCCAAGGAACGACTGTTGACTTTGAACCGCTGACCTTGAAATTCAAACTGATCTTGTGGCCTAGTGCTTATTCTAGTGCCCCAGCAGGACTCTAACAACCTAGTCAGCAATGATTGATTTTTGCATTTGTTGTTGTTGTTAAGTGCCACTGAGTCAACTCCAACGTATAACAACCCTGAATAGGGTTTCCAAGGAGCAGTTGGTGCATTTGACCTGCCAACCTTGTGGTTTGCATAGCTATGTCCATTTCCCCAAAACTAGAGTGTAAAACATTTGATTGGGCCCTAAAACAGAACTACAGAATCAACTGGTGAGGGGCCCTGCTGATGGAATCGATCCTTTTCCTAGTTTCTGAGAACAAAGGAAACAGTTTAGATGTCTAGTTCTTCCACAAACACAGAACCAAGTCTAGTCTCCTTCATTGCCTCTTCTCTCCTGCCCACATCAAACAGCTTTCTTGACGGCAAGTCTTCTTCAGGAACTATGCTCCCATTCCCCGCTGACAGGGGACTTCTGGGCAGGTGACTGCCCGTGCACAACTTCCATGTTCCTAGGCACTAGCTAGCAATCCTTTCTCCTCTTTGGGAGTTAAAGTCAGGCATAATGTTGTTGTTGTTGTTAGGTGCCACTGAGTCGATTCCGAGGAGCGATTGGTGAGTTTGAACAGCCGACTAAGTGGTTCAAATTGCCCAGGAGGCCCAGTGGTTTATCCTATAGCCCTACACACGTTTTACGCAGTATCCTTCTAACCCTAAACAGAGTTTATTATTATCTGTCTTTCAACATGTAAAAACGGAAGTTCAAAAGTTAAATAACTTTCCCCAAATCACGTAGGTAGTAAGCAGTACAGATGGACCTTAAGTTAATCCCAGATCTGCCTGACATCTGCTCATCAGCCATGCGTTCCTGACCACCCTAGTTACAGCTGCAAGCCCTTGTCTCGGCAGCAGCATTCCCCCACACCGGCCTTCTTTTTCTTCATAGCTCTGTGCTCTTCTAATGTACAGCATCACCTATTTTCTGTAGTTGTTGTCCGTCCTCCACATCTCCCTGCTTCCAAGTAGTAACTGACTTTTGACCTTTCCATTCACTGCACCTCCTCCCATACCTTGAACCAGTGCATGGCATAGTGTCACACAGTATGGAACACAACATGTAACACGCAATGAATGGAAGGAGATCATCATGTACAAATGTATGACTACCATCATGGGCAAAACAGGTTTGTGCTTGAGTACTAAAATAAAGATAGGTGGTTTGAACCACCCATGGAAAACAGGTCTGGCAACCTATTTCAAATTACAGCCAAGAAACCCCTATGGGACCATTCTAGTATGTAGCACATGGAACCACTAGGAGTCTGAAATGACCTGACAGCAACTAACAACACTGTGACAGACACCTCCCAGACGGTGCTTGAATATACGTTATCTAATCAATAAGCACCAAGGAAAATATACTTCACTATCATACACATCACGTAGCCCTGGTGACACAATGGGTTAAGCATTTGGGCTGCAAAGTTAGCGGTTCAAATCCACCAGCTTTTCTGCAGGAGAAAGAGAGAGTCTTAGAAACCCTAAAGAGCAGTTCTGCTGTGCCTTATGTTGTTGTTGTTGTTAAACTCTTTCAAGTCATTCCCAACACCAAAAGGTCGGCTGTTCAAACTCACCAGCTGCTCCTTGGAAATCCTATACAGGGTTGCTATGATTCGGAACCAACTCGACAGCACTTAGCAACAACAATCTAACATACTCGAGAATTTTCTCGGTCAGCCACCTCACAAATTATCTGTCACTGGGCTCAGGGATAGAATGTCTTACTTTTGCAGACAGGAGCGATTGCAGTCTTACTCACTTCCCACCGGCATAGGGGCACAGCTACAGAGTCGGATGGGAATGCAGACCAGACAGACACGGTGCCAGGCATGCCCACAGAGGTGAAGAGCCTGCTGCCTGCCTCTGATCCACACTATGGGCTATGTCTGAGCAAGCTGGCTCTCCAGGTCAACACACACCTTAGCAAAGGGTCAAGGTTCCAATCACGTGGTTTCTTTTCTTCACACCTCCCTGGTTTCATTTCAAACTGAACTAAGACTTCTTCTAAGTTATATTGATGGGTGTGTGACACATTGCTTTAAAATAATAAGCTTTTATAGGAAAAGATGACAATCAAAAATAATTAAAATAATTTTTATCTAACAAACTGAATTTTTTTTTTTTAGGGAAAAAAATTAGTAATCAGGGTTGAAAAAGGTGCAAGAAAATACACATTTCCCATATACCCCAATCAGAGAACTTCTGCTATCATGTGCTGTCATTCGGTTCTGACTCATAGCGACCCTGTACAGGATTTCCAAAGCTGTAAATCTTCATAGGAGCAGAAACCCTTAACTTACTCTCATTGACCAGCTGAGAGATTCAATCAGATAATAAATAGTATAATTACTTTGGATGGAATTTGCTGTTGCTTCTCGCTAAATGTAAGTTGGTTGCTACTCATTTTGATCAACTTCAGACTAGAGAAGTTGGTAGAATTCTTCAATTTCATCATCACTGGCTTTAGTGGTTGGTGAGCAAATCTGAATAATAGTGGCATTAGACGGTCTTCCTTGTAGATGGATATTATCCTATCACAGACAGCATTGTAACTCAAGACAGATACGTTCTTTTTAATGATGAATGTGACAACATTGCTACTCAGCTTGTCATTCCTGGCATAGTAAACTATGTGTTTGACTGTCAGATTCAAAATGGGCAATACCAGTCATTTCAGCTCACAAATGCCTAGGATATCGATCCTTATGTTTCCATTCCATTTCTACTACTCATAATGACCCTTTACAGGGTTTCTGAGGAACAGCTAGTAGGTTTGAACCACCAACCTCTGGTTAGAAGTCCAATGTTTACAGCGCCATACTAAGAATTCAGTAGTGGTTACAAGTCAGGCTGCTAACCTCACGATTAGCAGTTCAAAATTACTATTGTTCCTGTGGGAGAAAGATGAGGCTTTCTGTTCCCATAAAGATTTACAGCTTTGGAAACCCTACACAGGGTCGCTATGAGTTATTGACTACTCGAAGGCTTTTGATTGTGTGGATCATGACGAGCTACGGACAACACTGCGAAGTATGAGTATTCCGGAACACTTAACTGTGCTCATGAGCAATCTGTACCTGGACCTAGATGTTGCTGCTCGAACAGAACATGGGAACACTGAATGGTTTAAAATTAAGAAAGGTGTGCGACAAGGTTGTATTCTTTTACCATACTTATTCAACCTCTATGATGAGCAAATAATCCGAGAAGTTGGCTTATATGAAGAAAAACATGGCATCAGGATTGGAGGAAGACTCATTAACAACCTGGGATATGCAGATGATACAACCTTGCTGAAATTGGGAGGGCTTAAAATACTTACTGATTAAGATCAAAGACCATAGCCTTCGGTGTGGATTACATTTCAATGTAAAGAAAACAAAAACCCTCACTCACCGCTGGACCAATAAACAACACTGTTATCAACTGAGAAAATATTGAAGTTGTCAAGGACTTCATTCTTCTTAGATCAACTATCAACACTCGCAGAAGCAGCAATTAAGAAATCAAACAACGTACTGCATTAGGCAAATCTGCTGCACAGGAACTTTTTAAAGTGTTGAAGAGCAAAGATGTCAGTTTGAGGACTAAGGTGCACCTAACCCAAGCCATGATATTTTCAATAACCTCATATACATGCGAAAGCTGGACAGTGACTAAGGAAGACCATGGAAGAACTGATACTTTTGAGTTACAGTGTTGGAGGAGAATAATAAAAGTGCCATGGGCTGCCAAAAGAACAAACAGATCTGTGTTGGAAGAAGTGCAGCCATAATGCTCCTTGGAGGCCAGGATGGCCAAAGTTGGTCTCTCACACTTTGAACATATTGTCAGGAGGGGCCAGTCGCTGGAGAAGGATATCATGTTTGGTAAGGTGGAGGGTCAGAGAAAAAAAGGAAGACCTCCAATGAGATGAATTGACAAAGTGGCAGCATCAGTGGGCTCAAGTGTAGCAACAATTGTGAAGTTGGCCCAGGATCGGGCAGTGTTACATTCTGTTCTGCATAGAATCGCTGAGTCAGTACCGACTCGATGGCACCTAACAACAAGTTGGGA